ACGACACTCATGTCTATGAAAAGTACGATATCAAGTTGTTCATAGCCGTGGCAGTAGATGCTAATGGACAGATATTTCCTCTAGCTTTTGCTATTTATGCCAATGAAAGCCAAGAGACGTGGACGCTATTTTTGAACCACTTGAAAGAGCAAGTTGTCAAACAATATTCCGATATTTGTCTAATATCTGATCGGCACGGTAGTATCTTAAGTTCTGTGGAGAACTTGCCTGCATGGCAAGAACCTTATGTGTACCATCGTTACTGTGTTAGGCACCTTAAAGCCAATTTCCAGAAGGCACATCCCAACAAGGATCTGCATGATTTGATGTGGATGGCAACAACAGACCACCAATAACATAAATTCCGGAGGCACATGGAATATATCAGGCAAGAAGACGAGGCAGCCTATCGTTGGTTAATGCGACATGACCCTGAAAAATGGACTTTGCATGCGGATGGTGGCAGACGATGGGGAAATCTGACTACAAATGTATTAGAGTCTTTCAACGGGTTATTGAAGTCGGCAAGAGGATTGCCTGTCATAGCCATGGTGCGGATGTCGTTCAAGCAGATGGCGGAGAGGTTGGTTGAAAGGTCTGCAACTGCAACATCATTGATGGAAAGGGGTGTTGAATTTATGCCAGTGCCGATGCAGAGATTTGAGAAATACAGACGGCGAGCGCATTGCCATTCATTTTTGCAGTATGATAACGAAAGAAATATTTTTGAAGTTTGCACCGCTATCCATCAAAATCGGGGTAATAATGTACATACTGGAAATGAATCTGCAAGGTTATGCTCTTGTGGGAAATGGTCCATCTACCACATGCCTTGCTCACATGCCATCAAGTGCTTTCAACAAGTTGGTTTAGGTGTAACCAACTATGTTGATTAACAATATAGTGTTGCAAAGTACCTAAATACATATAGTGGGCAGTTGCAGCCAGTGGGTGCTGAGCATTATTGGTCGCTTGAACCATTTAAAATGGTGTGTAACAAGTCCTATTTGCGCCGAATACAGGTGAAGAAGAGAACGCGTATACGGAACCAAATGGATGTTAGTGATACCGTTTATACGCGCAGATGTGGTATATGCTCGCAAACAGGACACGACCATCGAAAATGTCATTTGGGTGGCAACAGTAATCAAGCTCGAGGTGGGTGTTCTTCTATTGTGCCTAACTATTAATGAGTTTGTGTTGTAATATTTAATTGTTTTGTTTATGTTGCAAGATTTATAAAATAAAATTATGTTTGTTAATTATGAGTTGAATTTCTCCATTTCAGTTTTTAATGATAATTAAAAAAATTATATACTCGGAAGATCTGGAAACAACATTGAACTTTCATAAATCTGATTAATTTATGACTGTGTGTTGTCTTGTCGATCTGAAAAAGCTGCCCAACTGACATAAAGTTGTTTCATACCTGTTAGAACATTTAACACGCAAAGCATAACGTAGGTAAATACTACGTTATGTCTATATATAGCGCGGTTAAATACTACGTTATATGTGTGTGTTGTCTTGTCGATCTGACATAAAGCTGTTTCGTACCCGTCAGAACATTTAACACGCAAGGCATAACGTGGTTAAATATTACGTTATGTCTATATATAGCGCGGTTAAATACTACGTTATGTGTGTTGTCTTGCCTATAAATGACGAGCTCATTCTACATATTTTCTTCGCTCAAAAATAACTAATAGCAAATCTTCCTTGAAAAGCAAGTTTTTTTTAACAGAAAAATGTCTCAGCCTATTTATGTCCCAAGGTGCAAGTGCGGAAAAAAATGCCAGATGCAAAGTTGTTGGGATAATGGTACAGCTGGACGCTGCTTCTGGGAATGTTTGAACAAGTTTTATAAGGTTCTCGGCGAACCTATTTGCGATTTTGAGGTATGGATTGATAAACCTTGTCATCAGGAATACTACAAAGGATTGTTGAACGATCTTAATGATTTGTGTTTAAAATAGTGGGAATGTGAAAAACAACTTAAAAAAGAGGTTGTGGAGTTGAAAGCGAAACTTAAAGAGGTAGAAGAAGAAAAAAAATAAGTTGTCAGAACAATTTAAGTGGTTGGAGCAGAGAATAATGGGCGGCAGTGACTAAACGTATGTGTTTAGTGTATCAATTTGTCTTTATGCGTGTTGTCGTGCATTTTTATTAAGCTAAAGTAGTTGTAATGAACTTTATTTTCAGTATTTGTAATATAATTTTACTTCTTTACGACTTGTGTGTGTTGTAGTACGAAACTAGCTAATTAACGGAGTAATAAAAAAGTAATGCCCATATTGTATAAAAGTTGTTGTTGATGTATATACAAAAATATTATTTACATATAATACAAAAAAAAGAATAAAATCAATATGTCCCGCATCCAGTGTGCTTCAACGCAGCCGCTGGCCTGAGGCGTATCACATCCCACCTGGGTATGCTATTGGGATCGTCATCATCAAGTTGCCTCCTTATAGCCGGATGCGCCGCTGCATGATCATCAGTGGTGCCGACAGGATCAGAAGAAGGGGTCGTCAGTCCAATAGAAACCTACATAAGAATAAATTCTCAGAATAACAAAGTATATAATAAGTCACAACAATTTGAATTGTCGTACCACTATCTCGTCGGGCTCCTGAATGTAATCATCTGTCGCAGCCATGTCAACATCGCGTTCAGCCTTAAAAAGGAAATTAACAAAGTTATGGAAAATAAAGACAAATTCTAATTCAATGCTATGAAAATCATACCTGCGAACGTGATGATGAACCATAACTCAGCCGGCGCCCACAATGTAAATCTCAGGTCGGTCGCTCCTTAGCAATAGTAGACGGGCCTGGAAAGTATGTATCCTGATCCACTCCAGAAAGGTGCGTGCCCGTGATCAATAATTGATCCGATGGGGTCACCTGCGAAGTCCTTAGAGTGAGATCCATCCCAAGGCTGTATGAGGGCATGTCCGTCTCATGTAGGCCACCCGGCAGATCGGCAGCAACATAATCAGCAGGGGCCTCAANTATGATACAAAAATCTCAAGCTGACTAGGTTCCTCGAAGTGTTCGGGAACAAGACCCCTCCAAATAGAAGAAGCAACAACAACCTCGTATACTGGGTGATATGTACCTCCTGTGTATCGTCGGTGATATCGGGGTGGAGTAGCTCCAAGTGCTGTCTAATAGGGGTCAAAGTCAACCGACTAGCACCCGACGATGTAGTCTCGTCCTGTGGCCTGAAACCCGTGAGCTGCTGCAGCATGTCCAAATAAACATCACGCGGCATAAATCTCATAGCAATAGGAAATGAAACGGGCATGCCAGCAATGGACAGGCCATATAAAACCTCAACGTCCTGTAGCATGATGGTAGCCTCGCCAATGGGCAGGTGAAAAGTGTGCGTCTCCGGTCGCCACCGCTTAATCAATGCCATGATCAAAGCCCAGTCAACCTGTATCCGCCCGATCTCAATAATCCTATAGAATCCCGTGTCCTGGAGGCGATGGACTACACGCTCGTGGAGAACTTTGTGCCTCAGAAAATCCCACAGGTCGTCCACTCTCCTAGCGCGGAGAGTCTGGGAAAGTAACTCTCCCTCCCATATATGGGCGGACCTATGATCGCCCTGAAGCACTAATAACTCAAGAGAGTAAGGGCCGGGATGTATAGGCGCGTCTATATCGTCAACTGTAAATTAAACAGCATTAATTGTATGTTTATTATTTAATTGTACAAAGTATATATAACAATTGGGTTCCAGGCTCGATATTTGAGGCCCAGTAGCACCAACTTATCATGATTATTTATGTGTTAAAATTCAATTTTTTGATAATTTTGTGTGTGTTTGTTTTATATTTTTGAGTATTTACTTGTACAAATTGTATATAACAGTTGGGTTCCAGGCTCGATATTTGAGGCCCAGTAGCACCAACTTATCATGATTATTTATGTGTTCAAATTCAATTTTTTGATAATTTTGTGTGTGTTTGTTTTATAATTTTGAGTATTTAATTGTACAAATTATATATAACAGTTGGGTTCCAGGCTCGATATTTGAGGCCCAGTAGCACCAACTTATCATGATTATTTATGTGTGTCAAATTCAATTTTTTGATAATTTTGTGTGTGTTTGTTTTATATTTTTGAGTATTTAATTGTACAAATTATATATAACAGTTGGGTTCCAGGCTCGATATTTGAGGCCCAGTAGCACCAACTTATCATGATTATTTATGTGTGTCAAATTCAATTTTTTGATAATTTTGTGTGTGTTTATTTTATAATTTTGAGTATTTAATTGTACAAAGTATATATAACAATTGGGTTCCAGGCTCGATTTGAGGCCCAGTAGCACCAACTCATCATGATTATTTATGTGTGTAAATTCAATTTTTTAAATAATTTTGTGTGTGTTTGTTTTATAATTTTGAGTATTTAATTGTACAAAGTATATATAACAATCTACCATTATAAGAAATACTTAAACTACAAGGATTCTATGCTAAAATACTATACAGTTTACTACGCTAACATACTAGTTTCGCAAATAAAACACAAAACGACTTGGAAACACTAATATCTAAATTCAGATATTAACATAAAAAATTAAATCTTAATTTTACATTTTTTAGAACACTAATATCTAAGTCCGGAAATATAACATACTAGTTTCGCAAATAAAACACAAAATGGCATGAAAACACATTCAATAGCCAGTGATATACATTATTATACAAGTTTGGACATAAAATAAATCNACGTAGGAAAAGAAAACGATATATATAGCGTACAATAATAAGACGCTATATGTGACAGTCAAATCGTTAGACCATATAGCATATGAATAAAAGACGCTAGCAGACGTTACCGTTAATGTATAGCATCATGTTTTTGCACGTTATATATAGAAATATATATTTTTTTTAAAACAAGTGTTAAGCTAATTTGAGGCCAAAAAAATAATATTTAGCAGAAGTCATGTACTCGATACAGAGTAGCGGTAGTAAAAAGATAAATAAAATAAAATAAAGCGTGAATGTTTTTTCCTTTGCAGGGTTTAAGCGGCGACTAATGGAAACACACTGCAATTTCTGGCTTCCGAAGAAGAAGAGATTTTGCGCAAACACCCTTCTCAAAGATTCACAGTGAGTCCCTCCCTTTGGTTAATAACACTTCCCCTCCCCTTTCTAACAGTTCTTACTTCCATTATTTTGATTTCAATGCTTCAGGTTTTGCGGAAACCACACCCAAAGATCTAATGGACAATGGATTCCTTGCCCTATCCACCCTTCTCAGTATATACAATACAACCTCATGCTCACTTTGTTTTTACCATACATATTTTTACTTTATTTACTTTTTTTGTATTTGCCATTTTTTAATAGCTCTGTGCTGGAAGAGAATCTCCAAAGTCACCTTAAGCGATGCCCATTTTACAAACAAGCTCAATCTTTATTACTTCAGCCTTATTACCAAGAAGGGATCAATGCTGGTAAAGAACAACAAGGGGACCAGAATTTTAGTTCAGAGATGAAGAGAAATGCTGTTCATTCAATGACCCCTTTTCAATTCTCCCTTTTGATTAATAAAATCAAGTCTCTTCATGCTTCTCTATGTAATGACATCCGTGATTCTTTCAAGATTCCACAAGCGTGTGACATTTGGACTAATCGACAAGTGGACCGGTGTTCTTTACTATCATACTACTCTTTTGTATGTGTTTTGAGCATTTTATGTTACCTTTAATCCAATGTTATCTTATTTTTCCAGCCCCGTTTTTTTCAGGACTTTACCTTTTCAAGAAAAACATGTAATGCAGCAAGCCTCAATTCTTGGGAATCTAGAAGAATTTGGGGTTCTTAAAGTTAAGTTAGAAACATCAGTGGATGATGATGATGGTGTTCCTGCAGTTGTTGAGTTTGGAGCGGGGAGAGGGTACTTGACGCAAGTTCTGACCGACTGTTATGGAATTGACAAGATTTTATTGGTCGAACGCAAATCATACAAGCTCAAGGTCAGGCGAGAAGTATAAAGATCATGCCTTTATGTTTTGTTGTGTCATAAATGTTATATCTATCAATCACCTTGGTGTTTATGATTCATGAATTATGTATAGGCTGATCGGAGTCTGCGACAGAAAGAGAGTGTTACACTAGAGCGGTTGAGAATTGACAGTAAGGGCTTTATTAACCTTTTATTTTATCTGAGTAAAAAAAAAATTAACCCTTTCCTCGCTATGAACTATTTCTTTTTGGCTCTACTTTCTCTATTTTGATCTTTTGTTACTTTTGTTCGGATTCTCTGGCGATGCTATATAAGTTGATATGGGTTCCTCTTTTGCAATGATCTCATTCTATCACTTTTTGATCCTTAGCATATTTGTTTTTAGTCTCTGAATGATTGTGGTTATGCTGCATTATCAAGTTGTGATGCCTATGTAGTGTCATTGGTTAACTGCATTGCAGCTTCTATTGGAGTATTTGTGTTGTATTTGACAAAGCTGTTTGATTTTAGAATCGGGATTGTTTCTTAAAATACATGTGTGACATGCAGAGAATTATTTTTATTTTAGAAGACCATTACTTTTTGCAGTTTCATATTTTAGCCAACTGAATAATTCTTGTGCTACTAGGATGAATTAAGTGATTTCCTGTCAATTTATTGACTGTTGAGTGATAAACAAGTAAACTATGAACTGTGTGTCACCCACTCGAATTTAGTTGACTCGTCTATCACCATTTACTCATCTTGCTAGCTTCACTAGGTCATTCCTATGAGTCTGTGCAATGAAATATATTGGGCTCAACAATATCTAGCGATAAACTTCGGAGTCCCAAAATGAAAGCTAAGGATCTGACAAGAAACTGAAATACTCTTCTCCTGTCAAAAAGAAATTGAAATCCTTTTCAATAAATGAGCAAGTTTTACAGCATCTTTTTGCCGTCATTGTTAAGCACTACTAATAAACAGCTATGAGCATACAAGGACGGAAGAGACTTAAACGAATCTTGTCGCTCTGACTCACTTGATGATCATCTTCCTCTACTTTAAAGGTAGCCCGGTGCACTAAGCTCCCACTATGCGCGGGGTCCGGGAAGGCCGGACCACAAGGGCCTATTTTACGCAGTCTTACCCTGCATTTCTGGAAGAGGTTGTTTCCACGGCTCGAACCGTGAGATCACACGGCAACAACTTTACCCGTTCCATCTTCCTCTACTTCATTACTTTGAATTAGCGGTTTTTAATTTTTGCAGTTGAGGACCTAAAATTGGATGCTGTTGAGAGCTTACAAGGAGTTCCTTATCTGGCAATTGGTAAACATCTTTGTGGGCCTGCTACAGGTACTTCTTTTCTTTCTGCTATAAGAAAAAGAACATAACCGTGCCCTTACACAGTCAATTTGATTCTTCTTCAGGCCAGTTTTACTTTATGAACTAATACAATAAGCAAATTGATGCAGATATGACTTTAAGATGTTGTATCAGGGAACAGTGTGATGATTCTCCTTCTGAATCGACTTGCCCCATGATTGGCCTAGCTATAGCTACATGTTGTCATCATCTTTGTCAGTGGAAGCATTACATAAGTAATCTGCCTTCTGCCCGCTCTCCTTTCATGCTACTTTCTGTTGCACATATCAGTTTTGACCCCGTCTAGTTTCTCCTAAAAAAATGCTCTTTCGTTAGCCTAACTTTGTGACTTATCGAAATTCGTGAATGATACGTACCGCAGATAAGCAATATATGTTGAATTCGGGAATCAGCAAGGATGATTTCAATGCCATGACATGGTTTACCAGCTGGGCCGTCGATGCAGATCATGGGTCAGACCTCAGTGGCACTGATTGGTCTTTTGATCTACAGATCAGGTATGGTCTTTCTATTTGTATTATTCAGAGGTTTCTTCACTTGCCACATTTTCTCTTTTCTTGCTCCTAAAATGACTCTTATAAGGTATGTCCTCTACATGTGGTTCACAGGGAAAATGAGCATGTAGAATCAGATCTAAATACATATGAAGTCAAAGACATGGTGAAGAATATGAAGGCTGTGGATAGAGCCGTTGTAGGGTTGATGTGTAAGGATATTATAGATGTTGGGAGGTTTATGTGGCTCAAGGAACATGGACTTGAATGTGAGCTTGTCAAGTATGTTCAGTCAAATATCTCTCCAGAAAACCGTTTGTTGGTTGCGAGGCAGAAAAGCTGAGTGTTAACATGCTGCTGTACACTGCATTTGTACAACAACAACAAACTAAATGTAATCCCACAAGTGGGGTTTGGGGTGGGTAATGTATATGTAGACCTTACTCCTACCTTGTGAAGGTAGAGAGGCTGTTTCCGGTACACTGCATTTGTATCCCTCAGATATTTAGCTTTCTCAAACCTGTAGGTCTAATTCACAATTTGATAATGTATTCTGGATATCAGCATTTTTTGAGTAGATGTGTTTTAGAGGTCATATCCTTTGACATTTTGTTCCTGTTTTAGGCAAAAGAAAGAAAAAAAAATAGCGGTTGTAATTTCTATGTTGACAGGTAGTGACTATACCACTTACATATCGAACAGATCTTGCTCTCAATGGAGTTATTTCGATATAACCTAGGAACTTACAGAATACCGAACTTGGATAATCGGTAGAAGAATGATTGGCTAGATCATTTGCCTCATTGTGGAAGAACCCCTTTCTATGCTATGTTTCCAATAAAAAGCCGTCTGGTGTAACCTCACGGCCACTTTCTTTCCTAGAGCTTGCAGCTATTATCTTCGCTTTTTAGATATGGTGATATTTTAATGAAGTGAATATTATTAGCAAAAGGCATCAAGAAGATGCAGATGTTACAAAGAAACAGAAAGTATCAACCCAAAAATATCAACAAAAGATCTATCATAAGACTAAGGAACTGATAAATTCCAAAAAGGTTCAGATATGGTGACATTACTTGTATTTGAATCTTCTTCTGCTTTTGTTGCCTTACCAACGATATTGAAGAGCTCTCAATTTGGAGATGTCCTAATACCTTAAATTGAACTTGGAAGAGGGAATTTGAGCTTGTGTTGGTGTCATGGTGAAACAATTATAATGGCCATTTCGACGAAGAAGACCACACCATGTTCTACATTTCAGTTAGACCAACTTGTTCTGGCATTTACTCACAACGGCCTACTACTCCTGATCAGAAGGAACAATTTCACCTCAAAGCTTATTTTACAGCCACAAGATGAAGACAGAAGGTGGAATATTTTCTGGGTTGATTTGCACGTCGATCATTTTCCCAGAAAGGACTCCAACATGGCATTCCATGGCCAATTGGCCATAGTGGACGTGGACTTGGGACATTACTCAGAGATAAGCCGAAGGGTTAATTGGATTGGCCGTTGTAGATCAAATGAGAAATATGACTCCACAAGTGCACCACGATTTGGTCTC